CAATTGTAGGGCTTACATTGTGCTATTATCTTCCATGTAATCACCGGATTTATATGTTTCGATTTTAATTCCCATATTTCTTTGGAAAGTTCAGTGTCATTTTTATATTTGGGTGCATTGAAAGACTTAAGATGGTTGGCATATCTTAATTTAAATGTGGTTTCACTTATACCAAAATAAACTTTATCTTTGAATTGAGGATCTCCAGAACTTACAGTGGCTTGGTATACGATATTGCTAAAAAAGCATTGGTTATTTAACGGACAATTTTTTTTGTCTATGCAGTTACATTTTTTTGATGTTTTATTTTTATCACTTTGTAAAATTTTATTATTATGTGCATTTATTAAAGACTTGATATTAGGCATGCAACTATAGCTAACTTTAATATAGTTTTGATTAAAAATTTTATGAAGCCTGTGTCCTACTGGAAAATGTTGGTCAATTAAAGCTAAAAAGTGACTTCCAATTTTAGTTTCAACATTTTTGCTAAACGGGGGGTGGTACCATATAATTTTACGCTTGCGATGTCTTTTTTGATTTTTGTTTATTTGGGGTTGGTAGGTGAGTTTTGATTTGTATCCTGATTTACGTAAAGCCTCTTCATACGGAAGAATTGAATTATTGAACACAATTTCCTTTACTGCCATAGTCGATAATCTTAACTCAATAGGGATTTCTTTTATTATATTAGGTGGATGGTTTGAATCAGAATGAACATACGTAAGTTGGTTATTAGGTTTACAATATGGTTGATAAGAACTGTCAATCAGGTTTAATGTTACATCAAGATAATTGACAATTTTACTACTAGATTGGATGGAGATAAGTAGATTGTTACTTTTAAAAATATGTGTAAAATGCTTTTTGATTTTTTCCATATATCTTATATATATATATATATATATATATATATATATATATATATATATATATATATATATATATATATATAAAAACACAAAAAGTTAACGGGTACACTAAAATGTCCCTGATAATGCTAATGTCCCTGTAAGTGTTTGTTTTTTTGTAAAATCTGTCCCTGTAAGTGCTAAACTATACAAGTATACATATATATATATATATATATATATATATATATATATATATATATATATATATATATATATATATATATATATATATATATATATATATATATATACATATATATACATACACACATATATATATATATTTCTTTTAATAAATTAATAACAATAATAATAATAACAATATCAACTAATATTAACTAATACAGCAAATAATATAATTTATTTAACAAACTATTCAATTGAATAAAACTAGGTTTTTAGGTGAAATAGTATAAATAAATAACAAATATTTGCATACAATTAGAAAAAAACTTGTTGTACACGCGTAGAAATAATACTTATTCTAACTAAATAGAATGTTGAGTAACTGATGACCGACACCCTGACTGTTTAAATCATTTTATGAAAAAAAATATTTTTAACTTGTATTTCCGGAAAACTATTAAGATATCTGAAAAAAAAAAATTTATATTAATATCTGGTATTCTGGAAATATCCGGAAAAAGATAATCCCTACTCATAACTTAAACAATGTGTGCGTGCAGTTTTGTTGAAAGTAAACTAGTTTTATAAACTTTTTTTAACAATGTTCTGAATTTTAAATATAAGTTGCCTTCACTGGAGATGTAAAAAAAAAAGTACAATGAAGTTTTATTATTAGACAAATCCTTCTATTATTAGACTAATACCCTTATTATAAGATAAAGCTTTTTATTTGAAAAATTGAAATTTTAAACTCAACTTACTTTTAAATGACGATTAGACATTTGAGTTCTTTGTAGAAAAAATGTTTCTTTAAGTTGGCTCTTTGTCAATTGGTGCTTTTGGTAAATTCGACGTTGTTCCATTTCCCATTCATCTGACTTCCATGCTATAAACAAACATTGATATACAATTAAATACAATTAGTGATTTTTTCTTTTTGAACAATCATTAAAAAAATAACTAATTCTTCATTTTTATAAATGTTTAAGTAAAAAAGAAAATTTTTTAGTGTTTTTGTCTATATGTTTAAATGTTTTTCCAATCGATTTGTTACATTATTTTTAAATTAATGAAAGTCAACCCAGTGCTTGGATAAGTAAACAAAAACTACTTGAGTCATAACTTCATAAGGTCAATATTTCCTTGAAATATATTATTAAAAAAAATACAAAAAGTAAAAAGTTTAATTCATAATAAGATGTTTCATTTTTCTAAGCAATTCAAGTTTTAATTAAATTATCTTATATGAAAAAAAAACTTATGTAAAATAAAAATATATAAACCTTTTATAAGGTTGTGCTTTTTGTTTAAAAAATTCATCTCAGTCTCAAAGATAATTTTATGATGTTCATCAACTTTTCTTTGGTGAAATTCTTCACACTCTGAAGCTTGTTTTGATAAAAACTCTCTTTCCTTTAAAATGTGAAAAAAAAAAACTCCAAATGATTTAAGAAAATAGTAATAATAATATATACATATAATACAAAATTGCAAACTAAAAAAAAAAATTAAAAACAATTTTCAAAAATTTCTTTATGCATTAAATTTTTTTTTTTTTTTTATACAATAAAATCTTTTAAAAATGCATATATACATGGGATTGTTTATATCACTTTTAAGGTGCTCATTTATTTATTAAAAAAAATTTTTTGATGAGATTTAAGAAGCATAGGTAGTTTTATATTTTATTAGTAGAATTTGTATTTTACTAGTGAATGTTTTGAAAAAAGACATTTACAGTAAAATTTATCCTGTAGGATCTCAAGCAACCTGAATCATTGTGTTACTAATGTTACTTTTTATGCAAATATTAAGTAAAGATCTTCCAATATTTTGACCTATCATATCTCAACAACTGGGGAAAACAACTACAACCTTCCCAAACCTTTTTTTTTAGTTTATTATTTCTGCATATAACATTTTTGCACTTAATTGATCATTAAAAAATTAAACCAGATGTAACTAATAAATTTATTGTTTCATATGATATTGAAAATTTATTTAAAAATATATTATTTAAGGAAGCCATCAACAGGGCAACCAATTTATTCTTTAGAAATAAAACTTGCTAAAACATTTATCTAAAATTCAGTTTAAAGGATTAGCTGCAAAATTTCATTACTCTGGCTCATATTTTTTATTTGAAAAATCAAACAGATGGCATTAATCTTAACAACACATTCTAATGTTTTTCTCAAATATAATCTTAACGACACATTCTAATGTTTTTCTCAAATATAATCTTAACAACACATTTAATGTTTTTCTCAAAAAAGTTTTTTAATTTAAACTTCCTAATTTTGAACTTCTTTCTATGTATAGATTGGATCAATAAGTCATATAATTGTTGTTTTAAGTTATAAAGAGACACTAAAAAAGTAGGGGGTACCAGATATATTAAACAGTTCCAAAAATATTTTAAATGGTTTAATGGTTGCAGATATGCCAATATAATAACTTAGGCTTATACATTGCATTTACATTTATGACATAGTTTTATGCTTGCATACAATATAGAGATGCAAAAATAAAAATAAAAACTAAATAAATAAGGTGTTCTCTAAATAATTGATATCAACCAATCGTTACCAAGACCATTACCAAAGCATTGGCGTACCTCTAATATTTTTATTAGATTTCATGAATAAACATGGTTTAATTGATCTTTGCTACAAATTTAGGCTTATAGATTTTTTGACTAAAAACACAAAATTATTAATACTTGGCTGGGATGTATATATATATATATATATATATATATATATATATATATATATATATATATATATATATATATATATATATATATATATATATATATATATATATATATACACTATAGCATGTTTATGCAACAAATTGTTACCATATTTTTGTAACATCGTTGCAGACTTTTTTTTTTTTTTTTTTTTTTTTTTTTTTTTTTTTTTTTTTTTTATTCCACCATATCAATAAAATTTACAAACTTCATCGTAAATTAATATAAATTGGTTAGGCGTCACTCATATAGTTACAAACTAGTCAATGGAGTGACACCTAAAAAACATAAAAATTTCATGAAAAAATAAATAAATAGAAAGAAAAAAAAAAAAAAAGGAAACTGAAGTAAACAAAAAAAAAAAAAAAAAAAAAAAAAAAAAGGAAAAACTTAATATCTGTATATATAAATAATAAAGAAAAGAAGAAAAGATTGTTAAACAAATAATAATGATATATGTAATAATAATAGTAATAATACAAAATAATAAAAATAACAATAAAGTACCAATAATATTAAGAATATTATAATACAATATAAATTGTATGTACAAATCATAGATGATAATTAGATATAATAATAACATAAAATGTAACATTAATAACACAATAATAAATAAATATAAGATTGGTAAATAATAAATAAAATAAAAATCAAACCACAAGACAACTATAGTACAGAGAGAAATTATAAAGAAATACACTCTAACAATATATTTTTAAATTGAATTCTGTTGAGCAGTAAAAAATTCGTAACAAGTGGATATTTTTTCTTAGACTTTTTTGTTAATGCAGGAATACACTGGTTCCATTGAGAGATACATTGTTGTTTTATGGAAAACTTACCATATTTGATTGTGCTGAAAAAAGAATAGTATAGCTTACTATTTTCTGTATTCCTGGTGTGATGATTATGAACTTCGTTTGTTTTAATAAAAAAATTTGAAAAAGGGCTTGGTAGTTTATTTTGGAGAAAGTCAAACACAAAAAGACAATTGTAAAACTTTACAAGATTATGGAGTTTTAGGATTTTTAGTTCAGAAAATTTTTTTTCGATATCAGATCTCATTGGGGAAAACGTCATTATTCTAATAGATGCGCGTTGTAAACTAGCAATGTTGTTAAGTAAAAAGTTTCTTTTTTGACCCCAAACAATACAACAATAGCAAAGGTGAGAAGAGAATAAAGAAAAATAAATCATTCGAAGAGTTTGGATAGGAACATAGTAACGAATTAGAGAAAGCATACTGTTAGCTCGTGTAAGTTTTTTTTTTTAGATGATACAGTTGATTATACCAAGATAGGTTTTCATCAAGATATATTCCAAGATACTTTATATATTTTGATGGAAAAAGTTTTTTACCGTTAATTTTAATTTTAATATGATCAATAGTTTTTTGAGGGGAATGAAAAATAATGTATTCAGTTTTATTGACATTCAAGGAAATACGGTTACTATTTAACCAGTTAGATAAGCGATGAAGATCTTGATTAACTTTTTTACAAATAGTCGTGAGGGATTTGTTGATATATAAAAGATTGGTATCGTCAGCATAATGATGTATCATAGAATTTTTTAACGAACAAGATAAATCATTTATATATAATAAGAACAACAACGGTCCAAGAACGGAACCTTGTGGAACGTCATATTTAATAACTTTATGTGTGGATTCAAATCCATTAATTGAAACAAACTGAGTGCGATCCGTAATATATGAAGAAAACCAATGATTAGCAATACCACGTATTCCGTAGTAGTTTAACTTTTTTATTAGAATGTTGTGATCAACCGTATCAAAAGCTTTTTGAAGATCTATGAATACACCACAAGCAAAAGAACCACTGTCAATTGCACCACGAATCATTTCAGTAATGCTAATAAGAGCGTGAGAAGTGGAGTGATTTGAGCGAAACCCAAATTGTCGAATATGAAAACAAGCAGAATTATTTAAAAAGTTGTAAATACGAGAATACATAAGTTTTTCTAAAAGTTTGCTGACATTTGATAATAATGAAATTGGTCTGTAGTTATTACGTTCAAGTTTTGAGTCTTTTTTATGAATTGGGATAACAGAAGCAGTTTTTAAAATATCAGGGAATACACCGGTTGTGAATGACAGATTAAATAGTTCAGAAAGTACAGGAGAGATATCATTTACAAGAACTAAATAATAAAGACTATTTGAGTTTAATGTCAATAAATATATATATATATATATATATATATATATATATATATATATATATATATATATATATATATATATATATATGTTTATGTATATACATGTATATGTATATATATATATATATATATGTATATTTATATATATGTATATTTACATATATGTATATATATGTATATTTATATATATGTATATATATGTATATGTATATATATATATATATATATATAAATATATATATATATACATATATATATATATATATATATATTGTTATTGAGTTGTGTTGTATTCTGTTGGATTTAATACAGCTCTTTGTCGGTCTAAGAGTGTTCAATATTTATAAAATAGATCAAAATATATTAATTATTTAAATGAAAAAAATACGACTTTTTATGGGACTTCAAGTTTCATGTCATTAAGCAATCATTCAGCCATATATTTAAAATCATTAAAATAAAAACCGTTATAAAAAATACTAAATTACATTGCAACGAGATCAAACACCAGAAGTATATATATATATATATATATATATATATATATATATATATATATATATATATATATATATATATATATATATATATATATATATATATATATATATATCCTCCAGCAAAATAATTTTCGAAAACTCTTCTCCTATTTACAAAGAAGCCCTTATAAAGTCTGGACATAGTAGCAATATCCAATATCGTCCTAATTTAAATTTAAAAAAAACTAATCGTCATACTAATAAACGCAAACGAAACATTATATAGTTTAACCCCCCTTTTAGTAAGAATGTTGTCACCAAATTAGGAAACCTTTTCTTGAACTTAATTGACTTTTCTCAGCACACCACAGGCTACACAAGATTTTTAACAGAAACAAAGTTGCTGAATGGCTTGCTTCTTTTTGGAGTGTGGTATAACGGTGCTATCTCTTCAGTGAGATATCACAGATGTCTGTTATGTGCTGTCATAACCACTTATGATGAGGCTGGATCGAAACTTTTATACCAAATAAGATCAGAAAGCCATGCCTTTAAGTAGAAAATGGCATTGAGCAACGCAATTCAACTTGTCTATTTTACTTGGTTACAATTCAGCTACTCACTGAATGTATACATCTTTGCACTGTATAGGATGGTTACTATCCAGTGGGCGTGACTAAATGCTCCATCCTGTAGCCAGTGTAAACTATGATGTGGTTTTTCTCCCAGAAGTATCAGTATCAACTCAGCACTTTCCTGATAGTTGTCATTGCATGAGACATTGCATCTTCTGATGCATCATCAGATTCAAGTACAGACAGCAGTTCACAAAAAAAGACAACTACTTCTTGCTGATATGGTTGCGAATGTCAAGCCTTTTGTTGCCTATGGTTGCCAATGTCAAGCCTTTTGTATGTGGATTGCTAAGCAAATGAGTCTCAATGCTGCTGAAAACCTTAAAATTGTGGTGTATCTGGGCTGGATACTGCACCAAATAATTTCTGCTAAACAGCACACAAAATTCTTTCCAATACAT